ACATGAATAATGGATGCGACCAGAACAGGTCTGGGTTTACAGTATTCAACACACTTTGTAGAAACTTTGTGAATTGAACTCTACAACTCAAAAGAAACAACGCTAATCAAAAAGAAGAGTTGCTCACTATATAACAAACATCATTGATTTTATTTTGCATTTATGAGGGGAAAGCTCGGTTATGCAGGTGTCAGGTGTGAAATTGGCACTTGCGTGACTTTGGTAATCAAATATAATAGATGGAAAACACTGACAGAGACATTTTGAGTATTTACAGTGCAGTAAACACAAGTCTTCACAAAAACAACTAGAAAGGCTTTCACTATTTTGATATTTTCATAAGAAAATCGATAGAGAACTGAAAGAGACTTAATTAACCAACACTAAAATATGACTAACACGTCAGAAAGAAAATGAAACATTGTAAGCTTGCTGTAATGCGGCAGGAGTGTGTGATGTGTGCTAGTCTGGTTTATGTAATTAATATCCGTCAGTTTTTGTCCGGCTGTTTGTGTTTACCTGTCGATTCCTCTCAGGAGTTTCCCCACATTCGCTCTCATCTGCTCGAACGTTGTCGCCATGATTCCCGATCCGCCGGTTGTTTGTTATATCTGTATTGTATTTATGCTGATATTTGTTGTTTATTTCCCGGAGAGTCGGTTCCTCTCGAGCGGAGCGGCGGCGCGTGGAGCTGCAGAGACCGTGGCGTCATCACGCGCGCGCCGGTAGCGGGAATCAGGAGCGCGCTTACGTACAGCGCCGCCGCTTGTGTGGGCAGAGTCATTACAAACGTGTGCAAAACCTGTCTGAAACATAACGATGCTTGGACAGAAAAACCTTAAAATCGATGAAAATAACACAGAAGGACTATTTTTTAATTAAAATTCTGTTATTTAAACTCCAAATTGCGAGTTAATTAGCTGGAATTTCGAGAAATAAACTCACAATTCTGTGAATGTTGGGTCGCAATTGGGAGAAAATGTCAAAGTTACTCAGATAAAAAGTCTAAATTGAAAGTTATTTAGTCAGAATTTTGAGAAATAGCCATAATTCCATGAGATGAAGTCAGAATTCTGAGGATTAAAGTTGCAATTGCATGCCATAAAGTCCGAATTCTGGAAATAAATATCAAAATTCTGGGATAAAAAGTCAGAATTCAACATTAAGTCATAATTCTGAGAAATACACTTGCAATTGCATGATATAAAGTCAGATTTCTAAGATTAAAAGTCAAACTACTCAGATGAAAAGTCTGAATTAAGTCATAATTTCGAAAAATAGGCATAATTCTATGATATGGAGTCAGAATTTTGATAAAGTCGCAAATGCGTGATATTAAGTCAGATTACTAAAAATAAAAGTCAAAATTCTGATGTAAAAAGTCATAACTAAGAGTTATTCAGTCATTATTCTGAAAGATAAAGTTGCAGTTACGCGATATAAAGTCAGATTTCTGAAAACTAGTCAAAATTCTTAGATAAAAAGCCAGAATTAAGAGTTAATCAGCCATAATTTTGAGAAATAAAGTTGTAATTGCGTGATTTAAAGTCAGATTTCTCAGATTAAATGTAAAAATTCTGATGTAAAAAGTCAGAACTAAGAGTTATTAAATCATAATTCTGAGAAATAGTCATAACTCAAAAAGATAAAGTTGCAATTGCGTAATATAAAGTCAGATTTCTGCAATAAAAAGCCGGAATTAAGAGTTATTCAGTCATAATTCAGAGAATTAGTCTGAATTCTGAAAAATAAAGTTGCAATTGTGTGAAATGAAGTCAGATTTCTGAGAATTAAAGTCAAAATTCTCAGATGAAAAGTCTGAATTAAGTCATAATTCTGAGAAATAGGCATAATTGCATAATATAGAGTCAGAATTTTGATAGTCGTAAATGCGTGATACAAAGTCAGATTTTTATAAATAAAAGTCAAAATTCTGATGTAAAGTCATAACTAAGAGTTATTCAGTCATTATTCTGAAAGATAAAGTTGCAATTACACGATATAAAGTCAGATTTCTGACAATAAAAGTCAAAATTAATTCATTTTGTGTCGGCTTAGTCCCTTTATTAATCTGGGGTCACCACAGCAGACTGAACCGCCAACTTATCCAGCAAGTTTTTACGCAGAGGATGCCCTTCCAGCCACAACCCCTGTCTGGGAAACATCCACACACACACTCATACACTACGGACAATTTAGCTTACCCAATTCACCAGTACCGCATGTGTTTGGACTGTGGGGGAAACTGGCGCACCCAGAGGAAACCATGCGAAGGCAGGGAGAACATGCAAACTCCACACAGAAACGCCAACTGAGCTGAGGTTTGAACCAGCGACCTTCTCACTGTGAGGCGACAGCACTATACTGCGCCACTGCCTCGCCAAGAGTCAAAATTCTCAGCTAAAAAGCCAGAATTAAGAGTTATTCAGTCATAATTCTGAGAAATAAAGTTGCTTTTGCGTGATATAAAGTCAGATTTCTCAGATTAAAAGCCAAAATTCTGAAATAAAATTTCAAAATTGAGAGTTATTAAGTCATAATTATGAGAAATAGTCAGATTTCTGAGAATAAAAGTCAATTCTCAGATAAAAAGCTAGAATTGCCTGATAGATTTCTGAGAATGACAAAATTCTGATCATAACTAAGAGTTATTAAGTCCTAATTTAGCTAAAACTCAGACATAACGTCAGAATTGAGAGTTATTAAAGTCATAGTTCTGAGAAATAAAGTTGCACTTATGTGATATAAAGTCAGATTTCTGATAAATATTCAAGCATTTTGCATTATTTAGTTCACTGTAAACAATACATCTGTTATTTATCATTGTTGTTAGAGGAAAACGAATGGAGAAATGTCTGAAATGAGTCACGTTAGTGATACCCAGCGAAATAGCTATACTAATTCACTTAACCCAAGTGCATAGAAGCCCATTTGATCCCATAACATGAGTGATAAACAAATCAATATTAACCCTCTTCAGTGCAATAACAGAAAAGCAAACGCAGAAGAGTGTGACATCCATTTATTACGCAATTAAGAGAAATTTCAAATTACAAAGATCAGTTTATTGAAACACCTGAATGTTCTGTAGTCAAACTCTGAAATCCGGAACAACACAAGCAAACGGAGCAGGATTAAAGAAGAACGTTTCCAATGAGTGCCTGAGGAATCATGAGGGGACCAAACTTCTGCTCCGAGAGACAATTAATCACGTGGCAAAACCCAAAAACAGCATCGAGCCCAATTTACAGATTCCCATCAAATCAGGAAATAAACAGGATCCGTGGTGTAGAAATGTCTCCGCCTCTTCAAAAATATGCTCTAGATCTATGAAACCTGCTTAATATGAATGATTAAGAACACAAACAGACCTCACTAGTTATTCTGGATATTGCAATAACAAACATTTGTTGGAGAGATGCTCGGACTTGTGTACAAATCCCTGTGCTGATGGACTGCAAACACACACACACACACACACACAGAGACAGATGGAGGTGCAGGGGATTATAGGAGGGGTCAGGGCTGATCTAGCACCCTGCATGAGGCCTGTGAAGCCCTAAATGCAGATTTCAGCCCAGACTGTTTTATTAAATCAGTGTGTACTCTATCTGCTGGGCTTGCATGACATTATGCTTATTGTTAATGTTTATTCGAGTAGTCATATAGACGTTAGATTTGTATGCAATCTTGTATAGTTGTCAGGTGTATTAATTATGCGCAAACGTGACATTATTCTTATGTTAACACATTAGTGTTTATTTTTCTTATGCCTCAGTCATGGTTGTTTATTTCTGCCATGATTAAGAGTCTGAATCTTACAAATACGAGTCGCAACGTCTATCAGAGAATAAAATTGTGGAGAAATATGAAAATATCCTCCATCATGATTCAGACTTTTTATTTGCAATTCTGAAAAGCAACAATTTGAGGGAAAATTTGAGCTATGATGTCTTAATTGAGAGATTTATCATCCTTTTGTCTTTGTATTCTGCAGGAAAAAGGTCAAAAATGCATGATATACATTCAGAATTAGGATTTAAACTTAATTAATGAGACGTAAACTCTCATTTTGTTTTGAAAAACGGTAAAGATGTCCATTCAGAATGGCAAAAAATAACCTTTGCTATTTTTTTTTACCTTTTTATCATTATTTTTCAATCATTATAGATACAGGAATAGTAAAAATAGTATGTGTGTGTGTGTGTGTGTGAGAGAGCATGTGTGAGTGTGTCTTATGTGTTAGTGTTGTGTGCATGTGTTTTTATTAGTTGTGCATGTGTGTGTTGATTAGATTTTGTGCGTGTATGCCTGTGTGTGTGTGTGTGTGATAGAGATAGAAAGCATGTGTGAGTGTGTGTGTCAGAGAGAGAAAGAAAATAGGATTGCGTGAGCTACGTTTGTGTGTGTTTGTGAGTGAGAGTGTGTGTGTGTGTGTGTGTTTGAGGTCGATCGGTCACAGGCTGGTACATGCAAACAGGAAGTACCTTAATAGTCTGCTGCCAAAAACAGAGAAACGACCACACTAAACTACAGAAAGAGAGAGATAGAGAGAAAATAGAAAGAAAAAGAGACTCAGGCTCGTTCTCCGCGGATGCGGCGCGCCAGCTGGATGTCTTTGGGCATGATGGTCACACGCTTGGCATGGATGGCGCACAGGTTAGTGTCCTCGAACAGACCCACCAGATACGCCTCGCTGGCCTCCTGAAACACACACACACACACACACACACACACACACACAGAAAATAATTACAGTTAAAGTAGTTCCGGCAGGTTTACAGTTCCATATCACTCCACTGAAAAACAGGAGGAGGAGGAGGAGATGTGGAGAACACTAGTGCTACACACAGGAGACGCTTGAGCAGGACACACACCTGATTTCATTTGACGGTTACAATAATAACCCATTTCTGACGATACAAAATGAAGATTTTGGAGTGGCCTAGTCAATGTATGTAATGTAATGTATTTTTTATTTAGTGCCATGTCAGCAACCAAGGCTATCTTCATGGCAGGAATCTTTCAACAATAAATATACAATTTAAAAATTAACAAACAAAATAAAACATAAATTAAATAAGATTTTTTGTGTTAATACATGATAAAAATTCTAAAATCTTTTCTGGTTCCACTTTGTCAAAAATGTCCTTAAAAGAGTTCATTTCATAAAAAGTCCTTCTGGAATCAGTAAAAGCAGTACAGTCCAGTAAAATATGTTTTACAGTAAGAGGAGTTTTGCAGCACAAACACTGAGTGGGGTTTTCACCTTGGAGCAAAAAACCATGTGTAATTCTCGTAAGCCCAATACGACATCTTGTAAAAACTACTTGATCAAATCGATTCTTAAAATGTCTTAAATTCTGTGTGAAACTTCAGGTTGGATTTCATGTAGTTTATTGTTTTTTTCTAATGCATCCCATTCCTTTTGCCACTTGTTTAAAATGCAAGCGTTGATAAAAGGTTTCATCTCTGACGGAGGAATTTGGCATTTGTTCACTACTTGCTTCAAAGCATCTTTAGCAGCTGCATCAGCTCGCTCATTGCCTAAAAGTCCGACATGTCCAGGAACCCAGCAAAAAATGATGTGATAAAACTGATTTTGTAGTTGGTGAACTTTAGTTAAAATATTATCAATCAAAGGATGATCATTCGTTGAAGATTCCATAACTTGGAGGCATGATTTAGAGTCTGTGAAAATGATGGATTTCTTTTGTTGTGCATTTTCTATGTACTCCAATGCTAAAAGTAAAGCGCGGGCTTCAGCTGTGAATATGGAGCATTCTTTAGGTAGACTGATTCCATGACTTTGTTCCCCTGTCACCATTGCTGCTGCTACATTACTTTCCATTTTTGAACCATCTGTGAAGATTGGTATGTGCTGAGAGTATTGAGTTCTGATATCCAGGTATTGTTGTTTGTACATATTGGGATGAGTAACTCCTTTCTTCTGGTGTCCTAGCTCCATATTGTGGCCTAGTCAAAGTCCTGACCTGAATCCTATTGAGATGCTGTAGCATGACCTTAAAAATGATGAAAACCCTCCAATGGGGCTGAATTACAGTAGTTCTGCAGAGATGAGTGGGTCAGGACTCCTGCACAGCTGATTGCAGTTGTTGTTGCTGCTAGGTGTGGCTTGATCTGTTATTAAGTTTAGGGGGCAAACACTTTTCCACACAGGGCTATGTGGTTTTGTATTGTGCTTTCATTTAATAATAATTTTAAGACTGCATGATGCATTTACTCGTGTTAACTTTGACTAATATTTAAATCTGTTTGAGATCTGAAACATTAAATTGTGACGAACATGCAAAAAATAATACACGAGTAGGCCCACACGGAATCTGTGCGCGCAGAATTCCACAGATTTTTAGCCCAACATTGATTCTGTTTGTTTTTGCTTGTGTAAATGTACATTTACATTTATTCAGTTTTTAAATTAATCACAGTATTATTTACATATTATATTATTATATATTTACAATATAGTTTGTATAGTAATTTTTCAGACTTTTAGTAGAGATATTATATGAGAGACTTGCTTTGTTTACCAAATAAAGTAGATCTAATTAGATTTGTATTGCAAACATTAAATAAAGGTTAAAAAGGTATTACTTTTTATTTCATATATTAGGATTTTAGTTATGATACTTCCAAAATAATTCTGCAGATTTTTAACAAAATTCTGCGCAGAATTAGCAAAAAATGTCCACAGATTCTGTCTGGCCCTACACATGAATAAGTGGGCAAACACTTTTTCACACTGCAGTGTATGTATGTGTACACACACACACACACACATATATATGTGTGTGTGTGTGTGTGTGTGTGTGTGTGTGTATGTGTATATATATATATGTATGTATGTATGTATGTATGTATGTATGTGTGTGTATATATATATATATATATATATAAATATACACACACACACACACACACACACACACACACACACACACACACACACACACACACACACACACACACACACACACACACACACACTCATATATAGTAGTCAACATATGAAGTGGATCAAAACATTTTATCAAAGATTTCCTTAAGCTATTGAGATATCTTATTATTTGAAATATTTATTTGCTGCTTTGACACAATCTTCATTGTAAAGGCGCTATAGAAATAAAGATGAATTGAACTGAATGTGTCTGTCAGACCTGCAGGGCTCCGATGGCGGCACTCTGGAAGCGCAGGTCAGTCTTGAAGTCCTGTGCGATCTCTCGAACCAGACGCTGGAAGGGAAGCTTGCGGATCAGCAGCTCAGTGGACTTCTGATAACGGCGGATCTCACGCAGAGCCACGGTCCCAGGCCTGCATGCACACACACAAGCACACACACAGTGTTAGTACAGCTCTGTGTATTACAAACCAGGACTGCACAATATTTAAACAAATTACTGCTAAAGCTATAATAATGCATTTATTTATCCATATCGTTATCACAACAATAATACATGCAATATCCATATTGTTATCGCAATAGGTATATATGCAAATTCCATATCGCAACTATAATATATACAATATTCCTATCGTTATAGTTACTAGTGCAATATCAATTCTGATAATGTAATAATATATGCAATTTTCATATAATTTCCGCAATAATAATATATGCAATACCCATATAATTATTATACAAATCTAAATCATCGCAACAATAACATATGCAATAGCCATATCATTAGTATAATATACACAATATCCATATCGTTAAAGCGATAATACATGCAATATTCATATCGTTATGATGATAATAATATAGGCAAAATCAAGGGCCAGACGGAATCCGCAGACGTTTTTTGCTATTTCTTTGGAGATTTTTGGTAAAAATTTGCGGATTTCTGCAGAATTATTTTGGGAGTATTAGAGAAATAAAAAGTAATACCTTTTTAACTTTTATTTAATGTTTAAATTGCTAATCTAAATAGATTCACTTTATTGGGTAAACAAAGCGAGTCTCTCATATAATATCTCTACTAAAAGACAGAAGATAGTACTTTACAAACTGAATTGTACATAAATCAAATAAACATATTCATATTAGTCAATAATATTACTGTATTTAGTTAAAAAACTAAATAAATTTAGATTTACACACGTTTACTCAAGTAAATAAACAGAATTAATGATGGGCTAAAACTCTGCAGAAAGCTGCGGAATTCTGCGGAAAATCTGCGTGCGCAGATTCCGTGTGGGCCTAGCAATATCTATATCATTATCAGGTGTATCATATATGCAACATCTATTTCGTTATGCCGATAATCATGTAAGCAATATTATTATGATTGATTATCGCGATAACATTATTTTCAATATTTATATAGCTACTGTGATAATGTAAGCAATATCCATATCGTTATCGCGACAACAATATATGCGTCAGCAGCTGAGCTTCACCTGTAGCGATGGGGCTTCTTGACTCCTCCAGTAGAGGGCGCACTCTTACGGGCCGCTTTAGTTGCCAGCTGCTTACGAGGAGCTTTTCCTCCAGTCGATTTACGGGCGGTTTGCTTAGTACGGGCCATGTTGACACACACTCACCTGAAAATCAACACACACAGAAATATTAACACTGACTAGGCATGCGATGATGACCGGTTTAAAGGTTTACGAATCTGACAAATGATTTATTCATAATTTACAAGCAAATAACATTTAATATTGTAAATATAGTCATATTTTTAATATTTGTGAAATGTTCCGTTTCGAATAACACATCCTTGTTTTATCATTTAATTAAATTTTTTTTATCATTTTAGTCAACTAGTTTTTTACTTTTTTGGCACAAATGACTCTAAGAAACTTTAAAATTTATATTCATCTATCTATCTATCTATCTATCTATCTATCTATCTAATTGCTTTCAACATCAAACATGTTATAAATTAAACAAAATGAATCAATACTGGAAAATAACAACAATGATAATAAAAGCATCTTCGCAAAAACAAATAAAATAAATGCAAAATAATTATAATTTTTGTTAAAAATCTCAAACCATTAATATTAATAACTAAATTAGCCTCATACTGAAACGACCATAAAATTAGTAGTACTAGTAATATTAGTAATAGTCGGTGCATATTATTTTTGTTGTCATCTTGTTTTCTGATTTACATTATATATATATATATATATATATATATATATATATATATATATATAAACTTTATTACGCTAGTTAATACCTGATAAACATATTTAGGTTTCTAAGCGCTTCAAACAGCGAGTTCGTCTTGTCAATCGACTCTCTAAGCCCATCCTCTGATATTAATATTCATAGGCCGACTAATCATTTCGCAAGAAATCGAGCAGACGGTCAGCGCAAGCTCCGCCCCTCAGCTGCGAACATCATGGCGCCTGTTTGATGCGCACCGAAAACTGAGGCAGAAAAGATGCGAACAAACGACTAAACTTCGACAATTTCACCGCGAAACACCGATTTATTCCCGGTAGCCGCACCCGAACACAAAAGAGGAGACACTGGGGAAACGTTTTCACCTGTTTACAGCAGGACACGAGGCTTTTGTGTGTGTTTTTAGCGTTTTTGAATGTCCGTGTGTTTTATGTTTGGATCTCGAGCAGCGCGCGCTTCAGTTTCTCTCACAGAAACCGAAAACACGCAAAATCACACAGAGAAGCGCAGATTCTTGCGCTTTTCTGACTTAAACAGCCGCCAAATCTTACACTTTTCCCCATTCACACTCCTATATTGATCTTACCTGCGCTGAAGGTGTTTTTCTGAGTGTTTTTACTTGAGCTTCAGTGTTATTTACCGTCTCTCGCGCACAATGGCAGCGGAAATGCGCCAATCAGCGGCTCCCACAATGCAACGCGGCGCTCACCAAAACACGACACATTCATGCTTGATAGTTCATAATATTTAGATCTCAGTCATAATATCAGACAGTAAACACGCCATCACCGCCGGACAGCAGACACGCGATAAGCTGGTAATTTATTATTATGGTCATTTACAGTTTTCATCATTCATTATGATTTACAAGGGTCTGACACCCAACATTAAGTTTAATATACAGCTACATATGTTCACCCATAAACACAATTTACTGTCATAAAAATAATATTGGAATTATGTGTAAACTATTAAAAATATTTAGTTTCTGGTATATCATATAAAGTGTAATCATGTATTTTACATGTATATGTTTGTTCATTTAATTTATCCTTATCGTTTTACTTCGTTTTAATGTTTTCATTTTCTACTATTTATATTCAAATTTCATTTTTGAATAATTATAATAAAATTATAGGATTTTATAAGTTAAAGCAGTCTTTATTTTACATTATTAGAGGTGTAATCCTGTTAAAAAGAGCACTGAATAAGTTGACACCGTTTTATAATTGCCTATTTACATTGTAGAAATACATTTAGTGTTTTTGTGTTGTTTTTAATTGCTTTATGGTAACGAATTTGTATTTCATTTATATAATTTGTAAAATATTAAATAAAATGTGTTTCTAATAGTTAATTTAATGCTGTCAAAGCAATTTAAACCTATTCCTATTTTATTTATTTTTGTTATTGTAACTAATTCAAACCTCATTTTATATTTATTTAATTACATTTTAAACAATATTTAAATATTTGTTCTTACTGTTAACATTGAAATTACTTTTCATTATTAGAGGTGTAATCCTGTTTGTTAAATATTGTTTTTGGTGTGGAAACAAACAACCAACATTTTGAGCACTCATCCTGCACTCAGGGGTGTGTTCATGCAAACACTTTCCAATCAGCTGGGGCTGGAACATAAACCTCAGAAGGGCATCTCGGTGGCGCAGTGGGTAGCACGATCGCCTCACAGCAAGGTCGCTGGTTCGAGCCTCAGCTGGGTCAGTTCAGTTGTCATGTCTGTGTGGAGTTTGCATGTTCTCCCCGTGTTGGCGTGGGTTTCCTCTGGGTGCTCTGGTTTCCCACAAAGTCCAAACACATGCGTGATAGGGGAATTGGGTAAGATACATTGTCCGTAGTGTATGTGTGTGAATGAGTGTATGGGTGTTTTCCAGTGATAGGTTACAGCTGGAAGGGCATCCGCGGCATGAAACATATGCTGGATAAGTTGGTGGATCATTCCACTGTGGCGACCCCTGATTAATAAAGGGACTAAGCCAAGAAAAAAATGAATGAATGATAGTTGGTGGTTCATTCCGCTGTGGCGACTACTGATTAATAAAGGGACTAAGCCAAGAAAAAAAATGAATGAATGATAGTTGGTGGTTCATTCCGTTGTGGCAACCCCTGAATAACAAAGGGAATAAGCCCAATAGAAAATGAATGAATGATAGTTGGTGGTTCATTCCGCTGTGGCAACCCCTGATTAATAAAGGGACTAAGCCAAGAAAAAAATGAATGAATGATAGTTGGTGGTTCATTCCGCTGTGGCGACTACTGATTAATAAAGGGACTAAGCCAAGAAAAAAAATGAATGAATGATAGTTGGTGGTTCATTCCGTTGTGGCAACCGCTGAATAACAAAGGGAATAAGCCCAATAGAAAATGAATGATAGTTGGTGGTTCATTCCGCTGTGGCAACCCCTGATTAATAAAGGGAATAAGCCAAAAGGTAAATGAACGAATGATAGTTGGCAGTTCATTCAGCTGTTGCAACCCCTGAATAACAAATGGAATAAGCCCAATAGAAAATGAATGAATGATAGTTGGTGGTTCATTCCGCTGTGGCAACCCCTTATTAATAAAGGGACTAAGCCAAGAAAAAAATGAATGAATGATAGTTGGTGGTTCATTCCGCTGTGGCGACTACTGATTAATAAAGGGACTAAGCCAAGAAAAAAAATGAATGAATGATAGTTGGTGGTTCATTCCGTTGTGGCAACCGCTGAATAACAAAGGGAATAAGCCCAATAGAAAATGAATGATAGTTGGTGGTTCATTCCGCTGTGGCAACCCCTGATTAATAAAGGGACTAAGCCAAAAGGTAAATGAACGAATGATAGTTGGCAGTTCATTCAGCTGTTGCAACCCCTGAATAACAAATGGAATAAGCCCAATAGAAAATGAATGAATGATAGTTGGTGGTTCATTCCGCTGTGGCAACCCCTGAATAATAAAGAGACTAAGCCAAGAGAAAAATGAATGAGGTGTAATCCTGCGTAAAAGACAGCACTGAATAACAGTTCAACACCAATTTATTGTTCAATTCCCTATTCGTGTAGTACAAAGTTTTTTAGACTTACACACATACAAAAACAAAGCAAACATGATCACCTCGTGATAAAAACCATGAAAGGGTGTAGAAAAAACCTGAGCGAGTGTCTACCTACATAATCTCTCACTAAACAACTCAAGAAGAAATATATCAAATGGTATAAAACAGATACAGTCTGTCGTCTGCTGCTACATCATATGCTCATCGATAACACACAAACAAAACCAACATCAAAATCACAAGCGGGACACAATCCCAGAATGCATCGCTGAGATCGCAGATGCCGATCTGTGCTTCTCAGGAAAAACAAAAGGAGAATAAATCAAATACAAGCACTCGAACGATACATGATGTTTCGCACGCATCCAGTGAGGAGTTTAGCACCTGAAACCAGTCCGTTGTATTCAGAATAAAGAGCAGAAGTGATGTTCAGTGTCTGTAGTTTATCATCCTGAGGGCCAAAGCTCCTGTACTGAGAAGAGGAGGAGCACAAAAACAACACTAATATAAAGAGGAGACACACACACAGAGAGAGAGAGAGAGAGAGACTCAGGCTCGTTCTCCGCGGATGCGGCGCGCCAGCTGGATGTCTTTGGGCATGATGGTCACACGCTTGGCATGGATGGCACACAGGTTAGTGTCCTCGAACAGACCCACCAGATACGCCTCGCTGGCCTCCTGAAACACACACACACAGACATGAGTCACATGACCACAAAAACGATTTGAGTTTCAGAGATACTGTCATATCAGACGCCCTAGTTTTTCACGATTCCGTAAATCGCTGAATCCAACGCAAAACCAAGAAAAAGTCGGACATTTTTTTGATCCTGCAAAATTCTTGCCTAAATGCAAAATAATTGCAAAAAATGTAAATAATCTGATAAAACATAAAATTCTAAACCATATAATAATCACATCATATTTATTTCAGTTTGCAATTTATTGTTTGACAATGTATAACGCATCGTATGCATCAAAAAATGACATCTCCCCAGCGCCCTCGCAATCAATTCACTCGCACCCCCTCCCGCGAGCCATAATTATAATGCATGTGCAAACATCATTCACATATTACTTGCTGCGTTTAAAGTGCGTATAATACAGTGGAACATAAATATACAGCTAATGTGACGGGTGTTGAGAGTTTATTAATGTATGTCACTAATAGCCCCTCCTTTTAATTTTTGTGTTTTGTTTTGCATCAATTTGTTTAGAAATATGTTTGATTTAGGTTTTACTTTTTTTTGTGTTGTTTATTGAAAATAGTTTTATTTGTTTGGCGTTACGTCACTTCCGGTTGCGACGCTGCATTCTCAGTCTGCATTGAGTGCGCTGAGGAGAGGTGGGGAAATTTACAAGCGAAATCATCTCTACTAATTGTGCTGTTTTCTGATCTATCCGGTCTGCTCTGTCCTGACACTTGAGTGACAAGTCTCATTTATGGCTCCTAAACTCTGAAATAGCCTACATGATAACATCCGAGGCTCAGACACACTCTCACAATTCAAAACTAGATTAAAAACCTATCTTTTTAGTAAAGCATACACTCAGTGCCTCACTTAGTGGGCTTCCACACAGGTTTCTGCATCTCGTTTATATACACTATGAACAGCAGCTATGCTAATTATTCTCTATTTTCATCTGGGGATACTCATCCCGAGGCTTTCAGACTATGCAGCGCTACTGATTTGATTCAAGTCTAGCGACGAGATGATCTTAAGGATTCTATAATCCTGGACCAGGCCGTATCCTGAGCAGCGGCTGTGGTGGTCATGGAGGAGTGGAGAGCATGAGACTGATTCCTGTGACGCTCCAGGGACAGATGAGTCTTCTCTGAGACCCAGCTTCCAGCCTCCGCCGCTGAGACTGCAGCTCTGCACTAACTGTAAATCCTCTTCCACTGTCGGTAAGCGTGAGTGATAGCCTACTTGCCTTTGTCGTACATACAGTAAATCCTGCTTCGCAAAGCCAAGTTCGCAGAGCCCTGACGGTGTGGTTGAGTCGAGCATCGAGTACGTTTACATGGACACCATAAGGCATCCTGCGGGTTGGATTCAGAAGGGCACTTCTTTGTCAGACGCTCAACAGTTTGACTTTCATTCACCCTCATTATAATTAAAAAGCACCAGCTCCATTTTATTTGCATACATTTTAGTCGAATGCTGTAACTCTACAGGTGCCTGATAGTTGAATGTGGAGCCGACATTAATCAGATTCCCTCTGGTGAACACATAAAAATCCTCATCATAATTTACTCGAGTGTACTTCGGCACTGACCGAATTGAAGGACATTATTTGTGCTTTATGTGTGTGCCTAATATTATGACCTGCTTAAACTCCTAAACAAGTTCGTTTCACAGAAATTAGAGTTATTAGGCCTTCCTTAATCCCCACCGTTTTAGATCTTGTCTTGACAAGACTAAAATAAAGAAGCTTTATTTTTATGATTTGCATCATTGTGTCAGATTGCACACCTAACATAGTAGGCTACCTAACATGGTAAATAACTTAAGATTATATGTATATCTTACATGTATCTTACATAACTTTTTATATTTAAATATACATATATTTTACTGCAAAATTGTCCGCAAATTTCTGGGAATTACCACTACAAAATCATTATCGCGACAAATTACAAAATAATGATGAAAAACTAGGGGCTCTGCATGATTCATTGGTTATTATTAGTGCTGCAGGATACTGGGAAAATCTGCAATATGTGATGATGATATTGATGATAATATCCCTAGAAAGTATTTGATTTTGATAGCTAGAAATCATTTATTTGTGTAATGATATTAAAATAAACAGATGAAATATATTCAGATTAACAAAAACTGTGCAAACATTTGGTCTTTTTTTAAACATTATGAATATGAATTAAGAAATAAATCAAATGTGTGTCTGTCAGACCTGCAGGGCTCCGATGGCGGCACTCTGGAAGCGCAGGTCGGTCTTGAAGTCCTGTGCGATCTCTCGAACCAGACGTTGAAAGGGAAGCTTGCGGATCAGCAGCTCAGTGGACTTCTGATAACGACGGATCTCACGCAGAGCCACGGTCCCGGGCCTGCACACACACACACACACACACACACACACACAGTGTTAACACAGCTCTATGTGTTACAGACTATGACTGCACAACATGTAGAAAAATAATCGTTATCATGACAATATATGCAATATCCATATCACTATGGCGATAATAATAATAATAAAATATCCATACCGTTATCATGATAATAATATATGCAATATCCATATTGTTATTATGATAATAGCATCAACATCATTATGACGATTATTATGATAATCAAATATGAAATAGCAGCTGAGCTTCACCTGTAGCGATGGGGCTTCTTGACTCCTCCAGTAGAGGGCGCACTTTTACGGGCCGCTTTAGTCGCCAGCTGCTTACGAGGAGCTTTTCCTCCAGTCGATTTACGAGCGGTTTGCTTAGTACGGGCCATGTTGACACACACTCACCTGAAAATCAACACACACACACACACACACACACACACACACACACACACACACACACACACACACACACACGACATGAAATAATACATGAAACACAATAACAATGCTCACTTGCCCAGAACACACACGATCAGCCATCAGTCGGTAATTCGTTATTTTGGTAATTTGCTATATTCGTAATGCATGATGATATCTTTTAGACTCCTAAATATGACTATTAGCATGTGAGTGACACCCAACAATAAAAAAATAATAATAAAAATTTGTAAAAAATTAAAATCGCAATAGATTTTCATGCATAAACCCAAATTATTTTAACGAAAGTTAATAATAATTTAAATGTAACCGAACTCGGGACGCCATGAGCACCGGAGTGCATGTGCCGATGCAACAACCACTATACTTAAAACAATTCTTGTATATGGATACTATTTGTTGACTAAAATTTTCATTTGGGATGCTCTAATGCACTTTTAAGTAGTATAACCAGACACTATTTCTGAAGTGTATATTGTAAATTCACATTTAAAGAGTAAATACGTGATATAACCAGGTAAAAAAATAAATAAACCAGTCCCTTGAGAATTGACCAAGTTCAATGGTTCAGATGACAATTTTAGAAGAGATCTGTGCATTTTCAGATTTTCCACAGCAAGATTTAAAGCAAATAACACTATATGTTTGGTAAAAAGAGGTCACAAAATCATTTTAAAGTCATCTCAGGTGACAAATGTTAAAGAAAATGTTGATATTGAACTGAAATGCAGTTATAAATGTTCAAATATTGTATTCTAAAAAGCGTTTGAGTGTGTGTTTTTACAGTAAAGTAGTGTACTGTGCTGTTCTCACTCTTGTTTACACTGACGCTTTACTTGCATTAATTGTCAGACCAGTTTCTCGGGACTTCCCATGGATTTTAGTGACATCTGTCTATCAACATGTTCCCCGCCTATAAACAGGCTCTATCGACCAATCAGGCGTGGCTTCAGCTACTCCGCACCAATCAGCGCTCAGAGTGCCGATCTAGCCCCGCCCCTCTCAGAAGATGACATAATGGCTGCTTGAAATTTAAGAGAAGAGGCAAAATAGCAGTTTAACGCGCTTCGACCAAACCACGCGATTTAAAGCGTGTTACCATCAGCATAAACCACATCTACCGTCATACATCAGTAGCACACACTTATAACTGCTTACTGACTAAATGACAGCGAGGAAAAGTGTGAGATTGAGTTTAATTCATCGAATGAACGCGAAAGACACGCAGTGCGCGCTCGACGAAGATCCTCATTCCAGATCGAGGCGCTTTTCGCGGTTTTACCTCAATATAATGATGCTGTTTTTAACGACTGCCGAGAAGTGGACTCCTGACAACATCTCCGGGGCTGTGTGAAGTGTGTAGCCGAAAGAAACTCACCTGTTGACGGATATAGAAGCGTGTTTTATTCCGCTGCGGCGTTTTCAGCTGCTGAAAGAGAGTTTGAGGCGAAATGGCTGATATTTCCCATCATACACCGCGCCTCTGCTCCTCAACGGTTGTTGCTAGAAGGGATACAGCTGCGGTCGGAAGTTAACGAGTATTATTTATAGAATTATCCATTGATTGTATTTTATTAACGTCTGCCTTAACCCTCACAGTAATGTAAAACAGTCATTATACCGAGTATTATTAATATTTATTAAATAACTCAATAACATGTTTTTTTTATTTACGTCCCGACCCTTTATAGTAACAAAAAACAGAAATAATACTGAGAATTAATTATTTATTAAATAACTCATCAAATTGTATTTTATTAACATCTACCCCAACTCTCACAGTAATGTAAGAACAATAGGCTAATTATACAGAATTTTGTATATTATTTATCCATTATTTGTGTTTAATTAACGTCAACACACCCACCACAACCCTCACAGTAATGTTAAAACAGTAATTATACAGAGTATTATTCATATTATCAGTTAAATTACCCAATAAATTGCATTTTATGAGTGCGTATGTGTTCATGTGTGTATCCACAGCTGTATCCCTTCCAGACTCGACCCCTCAGCATAGACAGTTTTGTGTTTCTCAGGACCAGTTGGTTTTAATAAGTTACAAAGTAACTAGTAACTAATTAAATTACCTTTCTACTGAAAAGGTAAAGTAGGGATTACTTTTTAAAAAGTAATCTAATTACAGTTACTAATCATCAGAGCCATGTATGGCCAATATTTTAGCTATCTCTGTGCAGAAATTTGTGGAAAAAAATTTGTGGATTGATGCTGAATGATTTTGGGTCTCGGGAGTATATAACTAAAGACTTAAAACACTAAATACAAAATAATAACTTTGTAACTTTAGGGTTTACAGTGCAAATCCAATTAGATCCTCTTGTTTAATGAACAAATCATATATCTACTGAAAGAGAGAATATATTGCTGTATTGTAAATAAATCATATAAACATTTGCATGCAAGTTAATAGAACTTCTAAAATTAATGTATAAACTGAATAAATATATCTGTACGCATATTTGAATAAGTAATCAAACACTCTCAATAATGGGCTAAAGTAATCTGTGGATTATGTGGGCCTACTTATGTACTGTAACAAATCCAAAAGGGTAGATAAAGTAAATGTTCACACAATAATCACTATTTACTGTTCCTCAAGTGGCACCAAACTTCTTATGAGTTTCCTTTTTCTGTCGAACCCTAAAGGAGAGCTTAAAACCTGTAATCGTTGATCTCCACTGAAGAAAAAACAAATACTGTTGAAGTCAATGGTTACAGGCTTCCAACATTCTTCAAAATATCTTCTTTTGTGTTTAAGAAATGTTTATGTTTGGGTGATTTGAACGTCTCTGTTATAATGTACAGTGAGATCTAATAATGTGCAGTCTACAAAAGAAATATCTGAAAATTGAAGCTAAAATGTTATATTATTCAAGCTTGTAACCTTCAGAAGACACTTCAGGTAAAGAACAACCACTTGTATAATTTTATTTTTAATTTCATGCTGGTTTATTGTTTTTGAAGTGCAGCTGTTTTGACCTGGTGTCCACTGAAATGAAGGTTAGTGATTATTTTTATTCTTTTACATTCATTAATTCTCCTTCGACTTAGTTCCTTATTTATCAGGGGTCGGAATATTCCAGCATATGTTTTACACAGTCGATACCCTTCCAGCTGCAACCCAGTACTGGGAAACACCCATACACACTCTCACACATACACTACGGCCAGTGTAGTGGATCAGTTCCCCTATAGCGCATGTGTTTGGACTGTGGGGGAAACCGGAGCACCCGGAGGAAACCCACGCCAACACGGGGAGAACATGCAAACTCCACACAGAAACACCAACTGACCCAGCCGAGACTCGAACCAGTGACCTTCTTGCTGTAAGGCCACATTTCTAACCACTGAGCCACGGTGTCGCCCTTTATTCTTTCTATTTGGTCTAATTAAAGCTTTAAGAACAGGAGAAATATATTTAATTAATTTTTTTCTGAAAGTCTAAAGGGTTTAATCCAGAAAAGCCATGGCTGCTTTAGGATAAGAATAGCAGATCATCAGTTTTCTTCAGTATGTTAAGTATGGATTTATTAAAATGGTTGATTTTCTACAGCACTATCCTGTGACATCATCATCAGAGAGTTAGTATATATAGGGCAGCAGTTTATACGGCACTCGGCGACAGTATTCCCGCCAGGCGTCTCCATGCTTCTTCAAGCAGGATTCTTCAATCTCATTGGCTCGTTGCCTCAGTAAATGAAAGCACTGCAGCGCTGGCAAATACGGCAAAACGCTGGTGAAGCCTGGATGACAAAAACAAACCAGGTAAGTAATTTATTTACTGGCAGAGCTTGTTAGCAGAGGATCTAGCTCAGATTGCAAAAACCAAGTACTTGTAATTTGAGTAAACTACTTTTTAAAATACTCGTAATCAGATTACAGTTACTTTATGGATTACATGATTACATATTTACACAATGGCAGTAAGCTGTTCATTTTCACTTTTATTTAGCATTTATATTGTGTCATACACATTAGTGATTCTTCAGGTTTGCGATGCTTCTAAAGTTTAAAGATCATTTTTATTTCTATCAGTCAAAATAGCACAAGATTATTCAATAGATGTGGTCATGAGGGTTAGCATGAAAGTAATCCAAAAGTAGTCAGATTACATTACTATAAAAGTGCAATAAAAGTAACAAAATGTAATCCAAAAGTAGTCAGATTAACGTATCATAACCCCTGGGAATGCCTCTGGATCCCCCCAGAGGAGCTGGAGGAAGTGTCTGGGGTTCTCTCCTAAGACTACTGCCCCCACGACCCGGCCCCGGAAAAGCGGCAGAACATGAATGAATAATTCAAAAGTAGTTAACTTGTGTTAAACTAAATGTGTAATGAAAAAATCTAAATGTAATCCAAAAGTACTCTGATTATGTTACCCTAAATATATAATACATATAATACAAAAGCAGTCAAATTATGTTTACATAAATGTATAATAAAAGTAATTTAAAAGTAATACAAAAGTAGCCAGATTACATTACCCTATATATATAATAAAAGTAATCTAAATGTAATCCAAAAGTAGTCAGATTACATTACCCTAAATGTATAATAAAGGTAATTAAATGTAATCCAAAATACTCTGCATTACACTAATTGTATAATAAAAGTAATCACATGTAATCCAAAAGTAGCCAGATTACATTACCATAAATGTGTAATAAATATAATCTAAATGTAATCCAAAAGTAGCCAGATTGATGTATCATAAATTGCTAGTAAAAGAAATCCAAAAGTAATCTGCTTACATTACCCTAAATGTATTATAAAAGTAATATAAATGCAATCCAAAAGCAGCCAGATTACATTACCATAAATATATAATAAAAAGTAATCTAAATGTAATCCAAGTAATCAGATTACAGTGCCATAAAATTGCAATAAATATAATCTAAATGTAATTCAAAAGTAGTCAGATTAATGTATCAAAAATTGCTAATTAAAGTAATCCAAAAGTAGTTAACTTGTGTTAAACTAAATGTGTAATGAAATAATCTAAATGTAATCCAAAAGTACTTTGATTACGTTACCCTAAATATATGATAAATATAATCCAAAAGCAGTCAAATTGTGTTTAATAAAAGTAATATGTAATAAAAGTAATCTAAATGTAATCAAAAGTAATCAGATTACATTATCATGAAAGTAGTTAAATCCAAAAGTAGTCAGATTATTACCCCAATTGTGTATTAAATGTAATCTGATTGCAATCCTTCTTTAGTCAGATTATGTTACCATAAAAGTAATCTAAATGTAATCCAAAAGTACTCTGCTTACGTTACCCTAAATATATAATAAAAGTAATCCAAAAGTAATCAGATTACATTACCATAAATGTATAATAATATAATCTAAATGTAATCCAAAAGTACTTGGATTGCATAAATATAAATGTATAATAAAAGTAATCTAAATGTAATCCAAAAGTACTCTGCTTACGTTACCCTAAATATATAATAAAAGTAATCCAAATGTGATCTAAAAGTACTCTGCATAACTATAAATGCATAATAAAAGTAATCTAAATGTAATCCAAAAGTAGTCAGATTACATTACCATAAATGCATATTAAAAGTAATCTAAATGTAATCCAAAAGTAGTCAGATTACAGTACCATAAATGTGTAATTTTACAGATTATATTGCCAACTACATGTCTTGTCATGTAATTTGTAATTAGTAAATGATAACAATTCTTAGGTAATCCAGCCAGCAGTCTGATAAAAGCTTTCAAGATGAATATTCTGACCGTTTTCCCAGCTGCAGGGATTGCTGATAAACACAGACGTACCGCAGGGCAGACACCAGGCCAACATCATCATCACGTCTCCTAGATAGTTAGGGTGTCGAACCCATCCGAACCATCCCGACACCAAGAGACTCTTTCCTGATGGGCTGCGGATTGTGCTCAGACCTTCAGGAGAGACAGAGATTGCTATTACACCTGCGCACACACACGCATCCTAAATCTGATACATGGAAATATATGCAAATTACAAGTAACATACAAGATCATTTAGGATTTAACATATATATGCGTCATATGCAACACATTTAGACATATTGCAAAAATGGACATTTACATATTCTTTGTACAAATATGAACACATATATAACATTATAGCTGTTATATCTCACTGCACTGTATATGTATATATTTGTAATTCAAGAAAAAAAAATATACATATATATATATATATATATATATATATATATATATATATATATATATATATATATATATATATATATATATATGTGTGTCCTTTTGCCAAATTTTGAAATATATGTTGCATGAATGACATATTTAATATATGTGATATCCAAATATTGATTGTTCTATTTGTAATTAGCATATATTGCCATATTTCAGATTTCTATGTGTGAATAAATCAAGTTAGGAGTGAATAAAGTTCAGTTCTTGATCTGCATTTGTGTTTAAATGGAACAAACATGAATCAGGATGAGAATATGAAGACGATGCACATACCAGCGTATGCCGGATCATCTGGATTTTTGCGGAAACCATCTTTCTGCTCGTTGGACAGGTAGTAAATCAGGAAGCCAACACCTGTCAGTAAATAATGATCACTACATTATAATCACAGGTGTCTACATGATATTTTAAAGTGTCCTAATGTTGTGCTGGAGTCCCCTAAAACAGGTTTGCATTAAATATGTATTATTGATTAATTGAAATATGAATCAGTTTGGAGCTTAAGCCCCTCCCCCTCTATAAGTCAACTCTGCTCTGATTGGTTGGTCAGCTGGCCCAGTCAGTTTTGATTGGATTTTTGAAAAATGCCCACTTGAGAGTGTTGTGGGCATGCATTATGCAAATGAGCTGCTTTGATTGTGTTGAAGTAGATCAGGAAATTAAACGACTCATTAAAGTGATTCAGAGCAGACTCTAATTAATGAACATTGTTCTCACCGAACAGCAGGCAGATGGGCACGGCGGACAGGAAGTGGATGTGATTGGGCCTCTGAAGCAGGAAGTAAACAGGAAGATTGGAGAAGAACGGGATCCAGATGAACTCGCCCAGAATCATGATGAAGCCGATGGGCTCCTCTGTGAACTCTTTAGTGGTCAACACTGATCCCTAATTAATATATCAGCACATCACACACACAGCAGAGGGGACACATTTAAGTACATCACACACACACACACACACACACACAGCTCTGCATAACTGACCTCGTCAATAAGGAAGTCCAGAATATAGATGAGCTGGAAGAGAACGACGAGCAGCAGAGAGAGAGAAACAGATCCCTCCATCTCTACAGCTGACAGCAGATACAGCACATTCATCACTGCCTGCACACACACACACACACACACACACACACACACCTGTAAACACTCGGTTTTGATAAACCACTCACACACACTCAATTCAGAAGAATCATTTGCACACACTCGATTCAGAAGAATCATTTGCACAAACTCCATTCAGAAGAATCATTTGCACACACTTGATTCAGAATAATAATTTGCACACACTCCATTCAGAAGAATCATTTGCGCACACTCCATTCAAAAGAATCATTTGCACACACTCCATTTAGAAGAACTGCACACACTCGATTCAGAAGAATCATTTGCACAAACTCCATTCAGAAGAATCATTGGCACACAATCGATTTAGAAGAACTGCACACACTCGATTCAGAAGAATCATTTGCACAAACTCCATTCAGAAGAATCATTGGCACACAATCGATTTAGAAGAATTGTTTGCACACACTCAATTCAGAAGAATCCTTTGCACACACTCAATTCAAAAGAACCGTTTGCACACACTCGATTCAGAGGAACCATTTGCACACACTCGATTCAGAAGAACCATCTGCACACACTCAATTCAGAAGAATCATTTGCACACACTCCGTTCAGAAGAATCATTTGCACACACTCGATTCAGAAGAATCGTTCGCACACACACGATTCAGGAGAATCGTTTGCACACATTTGATTCAGAAGAATCATTTGCATACCCTAGATTCAGATAAACCATTTGCACACTTGATTGAGAAGAAGAAGCGTTCACACACACACTCACCCAGCCAATGAACCCAATCCTGACCATCACGAAGTGTTTGACATCGATGAGGCCGAGACGAGGATCCATTTTCTGGCCCAGAACAAACTGCAGCAGCGGCTTTGCTGAAGAACACACACAGATGATATGTGCAAGCTTGTATATGTATTTGTGTGTGTGTGCGTGTGTGTGTATGCGCAGCTGTACCTGTGTGGTCGTAATGTACATGTGTGCAGGAGTGTGTGTGTGGAGGGCTCAGGAACAGCATCAAGCTGAGCATCAGAGCGACGGCGGCTCCAGCGCTGATCAGAGAGAAGACCCGCTCACTGACGGCAGCGGCACGCAGAACACCACAGAACCACACACCCAGCAGCAGGAGGAGGGTCACAGAGAATGCACACAGACCTACACATACAAGCACACACACGCGCGCACACACACACTATACAGTTATGACAGTTCTTCAGGATGTAGTGGTCCTTCAGTGGTGTGTGTGTGTGTGTGTTTCTTGTACCATTGAGTTTGTATTTTAACGGTTTTCCGTTCGGGCCGATCTTCCCTTCTGTCTCCTGCATGTACACAAGCACAGACTCAATAACCCAGACTGATCCAACACACTAGAGCAGTGTGTGTGTCTGTGTGTGTGTGTGTGTGGACTCACCTGTCCAACAGGTAAATAATAGAGCGCCACCTGCAGGACAGTAAAGGACAGCAGCACACACACTGACCACCAGTCCCAGATGGAGGATCCAGAGCTGAGCAGAACCCAGGAGGAGGAGGAGGAGTGGCAGGCATCCAGCAACTTGATGAGGGAGACAGTCAACAACACACACACCCCTGACAGGTCTACATACACACACACACAAACACACAAAAGCATATGCACGCACAAACATGTGTACAAACACACATGCGCACATACATATGCATATACACACATATAAACACATGCATGCACACATACAAGCACACACATACACACACAGACATATACACACATGCATGCACACATACAAGCACACACATACACACACAGACATATACACACATGCATGCACACATACACACACAGACATATGCACACATACATACACACACACACACGTACATACATGTGCACACATGCACATACACATGCGTGCACACATACATAAGCATATACACACACACATACAAACACACACACATACATGCGCACACACACACACACACATGCATGAACACATGTGCACGCACATATGTACACACACATGCACACATACATACAAACGTATATATGCATTTACACACACACATACACACACGGACATATGCATATACACACATGCACGCACACAGACATACATATGCATACACACATACATGCATATATACACACATGCACACACACACACAGACATTTGCATATACACACATGCGCGTGCACACACACACAAACATGCATACACCCACATGCATGTATACACACACACACAGACATATGCATATACACACATGCACGCACGCACACACACACATACATATGCATGCATAAACACACACACACACACACACACAAACACACAGACAGACATATGCATACACACACACAAACACACACACAAACAGAAATATGCATACACACAGACACACATACACACACACACACATATGCACACACACAGACATATGCATACACACACACACACACACACACACACACACACACACACACATGCATACACACACACATGCATATATACACACAGACATATGCATATACACACATGCACGCACACACACACACGCACACATACACATACATATGCATGCAAACACACACTCACACACACAAACACACAGACAGACATATGCATACACACATGCACACACAGACACACAGACATACAAATGCATACACACACACAAACACAGACAGAAATATGCATACACACAGACACACACACACACACACAAATAATTTAGCAAAATATGTGGAAAATATATACTTTGATGAATAAAAAGTGAACAGTCCAGGACATACATGCAGGACATGACCTGATGCTCTGGGTGTGTGTGTGTGTGTGTGTGTGTGTGTGTGCAAGAGTGAACGCGTGCGCTGTAAGAGTGTAAACATCAGCTCTACTTACGGACGGTGTTCCATTTACTCTGGAGCTTCACCACACTCCTCCCTTCACCATCATCATCATCCTCATCAGTGAGTTTCCTGTGTCTGAGCGTCTGCAGGACAGTCAGAGATGTGAAGATGTGCACATAAACACTGCTCTTACACACTCTACACATGACTTCTGGCTTGTTTCTGATCCAAATATCTAAAAACTCCTAAATCAAGAAGCTTTTTCTAGACAAGAACAGAATTATAGTGCTGTTTTCAGAAATATTGAGTCAACGTGAAGTCTTTTTCCTTAAAACAAGCCAATTAATGATATTTCAAAGACAAAAACAAGACTATTTTGCTTGTTTTAAAGGAAAACTCACTTATTTTGACTCATTATTTCTAAAAACCCAACTGAAAAATCCAGCTTAAACCAGCCTAGGCTGGTTGACTGGTTTTAGCTGGTTGACCAGCCTGGTTCTAGAGGGGTTTTGGCCATTTCCAGCCTGGTCTTAGCTGGTCAGGCTGGAAAATGACAAGCCAAATCCAGCTAAAACCAGCTTGACCAGCCTGGTTTAAGCTAGATATAGCTGGTTTTGGCTGGACTCCCAGCTTGGCTAGGCGGGTCAAGCTGGTTTAAGCTGGTCATCTCCCAGCCTGACCAGCTAAGACCAGGCTGGAAATGGCTGGAAACCAGCCTGGAAGTGGCCAAAACCCCTCTAAAACCAGCCTAGGCTGGTTTAAGCTGGATTTTTCAGCAGGGAACATCACAATATTTTGTATTTGTCTATAAAATGCGTCTTGATTTAAGAGTTTGTTGATATTTTTGACCAGAAGCAAGACTAAAACTCTGAGTAAGAACAGCATTTCCAGCTCACCTGATGATCCTGATGGAGACTCGACATCATTGATAACCCTGCAGCAGCTCTACAAACACACACACTGAAGGTTTTTATGTGTGTGTGTGTGTGTGTGTGTGTGTTTCTCCACACGGGTTGCGAATGAAACGGTTTTTAACAGACAGCTCCAGTCTCTGCATTGTGAAAGACCTGATGAAAGAGCAGAACTGCAGCTTCAGCTCTAATAAATCCCAACACATCTCTATTAATTATATATGACAGTTTCCTTTTTGTGTTTTATATGGACGGTCACATTTTAAATTTACTACAAACTACACAGTCTACACCAGGGGTTACCAATCCCGATCCTGGAGGGCCGGTGTCCCTGCAGGGTTTAGCTCCAACTTACCTCAGCACACCTGCCTGGATGTTTCTAGTATACCTAGTAAGAGCTTGATTAGCTTGTTCAGGTGTGTTTGATTAGGGTTGGAGCTAAAATCTGCAGGACACCGGACCTCCAGGAACAAGTTTGGTGACCCCTGGTCTACACTGTAAAAGCGCTAGAGAAATTAACATGAGATGAACTGAATTATGTGGCTTTAACGAATGTAAATGTAATTATTGCATCCGCGCCAATGCTGGACACGCCATTAGTTTAAAACAAAATGTAGTTTGACACCCAGTGGTTGAACTAGGGTATTGGATTCCTGGATCAAAACAAACACAAGCACAGGTTGCCAGATTGACAACACCAACAGGAGCAAGCCTGGCTGTGGAGCCTGAAGGCTGATTGAAGTTGTTTTCTAAATAAAAGCATCAGCATGTGATATAAGGAACATTCTCCATATTACAAGGAGTTTTTGTCCTGACCAACATCTAAATATAGTATATATTAGAAATGGCTTCTATTTCCCACAGCTGTACAACAGAACACTGACCATGATCAGCTCAGGTGCTGATAATGTGAGTCTGAATGCACATCACATTTGTCAGCACACTACTGAAAGCAGCAGCAGATAGTTCAGCTCAGATCTGCAGAATACAATAAAGCATCTGAAACTGAACTTCAGAACTGAGACTAGATTACAAACCTGCACTATTCTGTGCTTCTGATTGTCTGTGTTTACATTTCTGTCACGTTTCGTCTGCTGCAAACAGCCCAATTGCTCATCACTGTGCATCTGGTCATGTGGCGTGTTGTTAAAACACCGGGTTACAGTGTGACCTGCTCACCTAATGTTTACACTCCTAATATTTATAATATTTGCTCATTAATAACCTCATGGGGAACTCTGAATCTGCATCTCATTTCAGAGTCTGCTACTGTCCACCAGAGGGCGCATTTCAGTCATGGATGCATGCGCTCACAACCTTCCAGACTGGATGAATGCAATACGCTGTTTTCCACCATCTGGCAACCCAGAGTGCTGAAATCTAATCAGCTGAACTGGCATTGGGCGGGTTACAGAGACCAAAACAAAGACAGCCGCTCCGGCACGTAACACACATGATCACAGCAGGATATCTGACTTCAGCATTGTGTTTCAGATAAACATGCATGTTCACTGAGCACGATTCTGAATATCTGCACACAGATGATGCTGTTTATATGACGCAGAATAGACAGAAACTCTCATACAGCACCTTTAAGTGGCTGTAAACAATTTATTTGAGTTGAATTTAAACAAATAAATTTAAACTAAATTTAAATAGTTTAAATCCAACCAATGGAAATTATTTGCAATTGGTTGTAGTTTAAATTTTCACACATTTCTTTACAATTAATTGTCAAATTAATTTGTGAAAATTACTTACTACAATTGGTGAAGGTTGATCCTCCACGGTCTCCACCATCTTGCTTGGATTGGGACGTGTGGAGCTGCGCATGGATGGATTTGCTCTTCAGTGTTTGGACTCTCAGCAGTAAAGATTAAACCACACTGAACTGAACTGAACTGAACTTCTGAACAGACACAGCTTCAGCCTACTAGAACTTCTGTGATCAGCTGCCGCGACACAACCTACGTTGTAGATGTGCTAGAGAAATAGAGATGAATCGTATAGTGGCACACACAAACGTGAGAATAAAAGCGTGTCCGCTAGTTTGGTTAATCAACATATGCTATTAAAAACAACACTGCGATGCATGAGGATTTGACGATTTAATAACAGATTCCAATATACAAACTGTATAGTGTGATATTGTTGGCCACGTCAGCAGACTCAGGCATATAACTGTGCTGGATGAGGACACATGCAGAGGAGGTGAACGCAATGTGGACGAATGAAGGAGTGTGTGCTCTTCTTCAGGACACACACACACACACACACACACACACACACACACAGAAAACAGAAAACCAGTGCAACAGTAAAAACACACTCAACCTTCCAACATGATCCACTGATTGGTCCGTTTGCATCATTTCTCCAGTTAATTACAGCTACAGAAACACAAATCCCAAAATATCTGAGATTGAAAAACAAACAAACACACATAAGTCCACATGAAAAAAATACTGCGGTCATTTATAGTAAACACCAGAACCATACTTCAGCTGATCTGCCGCGGTGATGCTGTAGTTGCTTTGGTAACTCAACAACTGAACTGCCATAATATTTATACAGTTGCTACGGTAACAGAACAACTAAAGTAATTCTATTGTGGTAATTCTACAGTTGCTATGGTAACAACTATAGTAACTGATCTGTTGTGGTGATTCTACAGTTGCTATGGTAACAACAACTATTACTGATTTGTTGTGGTGGTTCTACAGTTGCTATGGTAACAACAACTATAGTAACTGATCTGTTGTGGTGATTCTACGGTTGCTTTGGTAACAACAACTATTACTGATTTGTTGTGGTGGTTCTACAGTTGCTATGGTAACAACAACTATTACTGATTTGTTGTGGTGGTTCTACAGTTGCTATGGTAACAACAACTATAGTAACTGATCTGTTGTGGTGATTCTACGGTTGCTTTGGTAACAACAACTATTACTGATTTGTTGTGGTGGTTCTACAGTTGCTATGGTAACAACAACTATTACTGATTTGTTGTGGTGGTTCTACAGTTGCTATGGTAACAACAACTATTACTGATTTGTTGTGGTGGTTCTACAGTTGCTATGGTAACAACAACTATAGTAACTGATCTGTTGTGGTGGTTCTACAGTTGCTATGGTAACAACAACTATAGTAACTGATCTGTTGTGGTGATTCTACGGTTGCTATGGTAACAACAACTATTACTGATTTGTTGTGGTGATTCTACAGTTTCTATGGTAACACAAGAACTATAGTAACTGCTCTGTTGTGGTAATTCTACAGTTGCTATGGTAACAACAACTATAGTAACTGATCTGTCGTGGTGATTCTACAGTTGCTATGGTAACACAACATCAGTAGAAATTTATCTGTTGTGGTGCTTCTACAGTTGCTATGGTAACTACAGTAACACAAACAAATCTATGGGGTATATTACACTACAACACACCAGTTTACTATAGTAAAAGCTGAAGGATGCTCCAGTAGTTATTACAGTGAATAATACAGTGTGCTCAAAGTGTTGATAATGCCATACCATATACAGTATAACACCCCACTACAGTACGGTTTACTATAAATAGTATTTTTTTCATATGTAATGCTACAAAACATGAGAGTTAAGTGTGTAGTTTACACTCGGTCATAATGTAGTGTAACAGGAGGGAATGAATGATGGCGTATGACTTCATATATCTTGGCCACAAGATAGAACACAAAAAGCACATTTCTGCCTGCGGGATCACCGAACAACTTCACTAATCACATTCATCACGCGTAACTACTAGTGCAATGACCTACCTAATGTTACAGCATGCAGACCTCAGAGCTCATGACATGATTTTAGACATACTTTAACCCCTGTGCACTGTTCAGATTGACTCCTCTGTGGTGATGTTGGTGCTGCGTTCGCCCCATTGACTTCCATTATAATCACATTTTATGATTGTAAAGCCAGATAATCCTGCATTCTTGACTGATACTGACTTTCCCTGTTGGGATTAAGAGGTCAATTGTGTCCTTTGTGCTGTTGATCATCAGTTGTCAGCCTTTAGATCGGCCTGTGCTGAAGAGTTTCTGTCTTTAATATGGAGTTCAGTGGAGTAAAACAGCAGATTATAAGCTTGTTTTGCTCTGTAACTAATGATCAACAGTAAATATTACACAGTTTACCTCTTAATCCCAACAGGGAAACCCAGCATCAGTCAAGAATGCATGAGTATCTGCTGTCATGCTTTACAATCAATAAATGTGATTATAATGGAAGTCAATGGGTCAAACACAGCACCAACATCACCAAAGAGGAGTCAATCTGAACAGAGTGTTGTGAAATCCCCAAGCATTTTCCCCAAATATGTGTCAAAATAAAGATTTAACAAAAGATCATCACATTTGCTGATACACAGAGAAAGTTGTGGTCAAATTAAGACTCAAAACGACCCAACAGCACAAAAGGGTTGATGTTTATCCTTCACTCAAGCACTGATGCTTATGTTTGTGATCTCTGTGTGATTGAGGCAGAAGTCTGCATGTGGTAACGCTTTTCTAACACACTCCTGACCCTGAATCTCTGACTCTGATGATCAAATCAAGCTGTAAATGTGCAAAGTTCTGCAAGAGGCAAAGCGGGTGTGAGGAACAGCGCCTACTCCATGCTACAAGAGTTACATCTGTCTATTAAACTACTGAGCTTCTCTCTGCAATCACTCGCTGAAGCTTGTTTACCACTGAACATTGATCAAATGTGGACATTTAATCCAATATTTCACTGCATGAACTAATCCGTGAGATGAAAGTTGAGAATGTGGAGAAATTGTAAACTGTGTTTCCTCCAAGTTGCGAGTTTTATATCTTGCGATCCTGAAATGTAACTCTTCGTTAGAATTCTGAGATTACAGAATTATGGATGTTTTATTTCTGAATCCTATAGTTCTGATGTTTATATAGTTAAGATGTTAATATTAATTAGATTTAGTTTGGCAAAATCTGAACATAACGTTATTTTGTTGTTCAATAACGGCGTGAAATGACATTGATTTTAGGTTGTTTTAAAAAGTAACCAAAATCCAACGTCGACCCATCATCTAATACCAACATCATACTGATGTCAAATAATGACATTTACTAATCAGGTATATCAACCAAAATCTAACATCTGATAGACGTCATAGTGGTAATGTCTACACAACGTCAAGCTGTAACATCATTAGATGTTGATATTTGGTTGTTTTTAGGTTGCGTTAGAAAGTGACCAAAATCCAACGTCCAGCCAACATCTTAAACCAGCGTCATATTGACGTCAAATACTGACATTTAATCCTCAGGTATGGCAACCGAAATCCAACATCTGATAGACGTCATAGTGGTAACGTCCACACAACGTCAAGCTCTAACATCATTCTACGTTGATATTTGGTCGAATTTAGGTTGCGTTGCAAAGTAACCAAAATCCAACATTGAGCCAACATCTTAACCCAGCGTCATATTGACGTCAAATACTGACATTGATTCATCAGGTATGGCAACCAAAACCCAACATCTGATAGACATCATAGTGGTAACGTCCACACAATGTCAAGCTCTAACATCATTAGACGTTGATATTTGGTTGTGTTTAGGTTGTTAGAAAGTGACCAAAATCCAACGTCCAGCCAACATCTTAACCCGTCATATTGGCGTCAAATACTGACATCTATTCGTCAGGTATGCCAACCAAAATCCACATCAGATAGACGTCATAGTGGTAACGTCCCCACAAAATAAAGCTGTAATATCATTAGACGTTGATATTTGTTCAAATTTAGGTTGCGTTGTAAAATAACCAAAATCTAACATTGAGCCAACATCTTAAACCAAAGTCATATTGACATCAAATACTGACATTTATTCATCATGTATGGCAAACAAAACTCAACGTCTGATAAACGTCATAGTGGTAACGTCCACACAATTTCAAGCTGTAACATCATTAGACGTCGACATTTGGTCGAATTTAGGTTGCGATGCAAAGTAACCAAAATCTAACATTGAGCCAACAACTTAAACCAAAGTCATACTGACGTCAAATACTGACATCTATTCGTCAGGTTTGGCAAAAAAATCCAACATCTGATAGACGTCATATTGGTAACGTCCACACAACAACAAGCTGTAACATCATTAAACGTTGATATTTGGTTGATTTTAGGTTGCGTTAGAAAGTGACCAAAATCCAACGTCCAGCCGACATCTTAACCCAGCGTCATATTGACGTCAAATATTGACATTTAATCCTCAGGTATGGCAACCAAAATCCAACATCTGATAGACGTCATAGTGATAACATCCACACAACATCAAGCTGTAACATCATTAAACGTTAATATTTGGTTGTTTTTAGGTTGCGTTACAAAGTGACCAAAATCCAACATCGAGCCAACATCTTAACCCAGCGTCATATTGACGTCAAATACTGACATTTATTCGTCAGGTTTGGCAACCAAAATCCAACATGTGATAGACGTCATAGTGGTAACGTCCACACAACGTCAAGCTCTAACATCATTCAGGGAGTCGTACACTGGAAGCGCTGCATTTTAAAATTCTAAACATAGATTTCTACCAGGGTATGCACATCGGCGCCGCAAGTCTGTGATTGTCCACGGCGCTCGGCTATGACTCAGGACCCTGTTTATATTTCTGCCGCATCATAGAGCGCCATCTGCCAAGGGTTTACTTTAAATAAAATTCGAATGTGCGCATCTGGTGTCGATACTTCCAACTGTCATGTGTGTGCCGTGTCGCTGAGCAGCTCATCCGGTGTGCGACCCCCTTTAGACGTTGATACTTCAATGTTTTTAGGTTGTCTCGGAAAGTAACCAAAATGCTATTATCATACACTGGACATTGACGTCGGCCAGATGTTGCATTCTGATGTCAACCTGATTTTCATTTCCAAACAAAATGCAACGTCCCCACAGCGTTGGGGTACAACATCACTCTGACATCCTGTGCCTGCTGAGTTTCTTTAAATTAAGAGTTGTTTCTCATAATTCTCAATTTACACTGAACTGAATTATTTTATTACATGCTTTTCTTCTGGTCTTTTTTTAATGTTTACATGTTTTGTGACTTTGACATTTTTTTTTACCTTCTAATTGTTTATTTAATCAAAATTCAAGATTTACATTTTACATTTATAACTTCTGAGTTATTCCTCATAATTCATTTCTTCCTTCTGAATGATTGTTTAAATCTCACCATTTTCCTTTTTTTAATCCAAAATTCAATTATTTTGTTTTGTTTTAATTTTTTAAACAAAATATTTTATTCTTTCTTCATTAAATCATAGTTTAAGTCTTGTCAATGCTTTTATTGCACTCAGAATTCTTTCTAGATCTCTCATTTCTAGATTTTTATCAGCATTCTGGATTTTCATCATCCAGCTCTGCCGTTTCCTCCGTTGTTTCCTACTAGTTTAATCTTTTACTCTGTAGTTTACACATCTTACTAAGCTTTGAATCTCTGAAGTATTGTCTAGATTTAGGGGCGGCACAGTGTCTCAGTGGTTAGCACTGTGGCCTCACAGCAAGGTCTCTGGTTCGAGTCCCGGCTGGGTCAGTTGGTGTTTCTGTGTGGAGTTTGCATGTTCTCCCCGTGTTGGTGTGGGTTTCCTCCGGGTGCTCCGGTTTCCCCCACAG